CAGCTGTGTTAGCACAGAGTTTGGGCTACATCTTCACTGACTGTAAGAAAAGACTGCATTTCATTTCACTGAGCTATGGACCTCTCTGTTTATTTGAGAGATTCTAAACTAGAAGAAAATGAAGATGCACCTATTTACTCAGCAGGGGTATTGGTGTCTTTTCCCACATGAGTTCACAATCCACTAGGTGATCATTGACAGCTTCCTGGGAAGTGTTTTTTATACTGCTTTTTGTCAGAAATATATAAAAGAGAGTGCCCATTTGGGTGAAAATTACAGTGGGTTGTAACCAGCATTAATTAGTCCAAGAGCAGTATGTGACTGCATTTGTATTGATGCCAGATGTGGCCTGTATTTAAAAGGGATAACTTTAAGAAAACAGTAATTCAGTGAGCGATTGATCAATCTGGGAAAAAATGGTATTGATTCATTCAAGTGAAGATTAGATTTCTCTGAGTAATATTTTCAGATGCAACATGTGTAAAATTTGATACCTTGCACGCAGTACATGAGGCTTGCTTGAGAGGATCAGGTAAGTCTGAAACCTATAGTTCCCAAAGTTTTGCATAACTGGGATTCTCCTCAACTCACCAAGGTTCTAGAATAATAGACTTATTACTATGAGTAGCCAACAAATCTGTTATTACAGTTTGCGACTGTCAAGAAGGTTGAAGGCAAACTAAATTAACCAGGTTCTTTTACTATCGAGCAATTCCTTGTGCTTTTATGGAAGCTACTTCTATAGCCCTTGTAAAAGTAAACAGTGGTGTGCAGTGTTTTTCCAAACTAGCTTCTTGAAGCTGAAGGATTCCCACAAAATGGCGGAGTGACTGGTCCTACACAGTCAGTCTGCTTGCGTCAACTGCTCTACACAAAGTAAATATGGATCCTCTCCTCCTTTTCCCCAATGGAGAAAGACAGTTACAGACACACGCCATCTACCATAGTGTTTTATTTGGTGCTAAAGGAGGACTGTCTTGCTCACAGTGCCCTTCCTGGGCACGAGACGTTGAGCTGAAGCCAAGTTGGCCTTTCCACTGTCTCTAACACCAGGCCACTTGTCAAACATGCTGAGCGACAACTTCCAGTAATTAAATGCTGGGAAGTTTGAAGTCACTATAGTTGACCCCAGCCAAAAATCTTGTATGTGACAGTCCATTCCATGCCCCCTCATTGTATTCTGTTTCAGCTTTGACCAGATCATTGATAATCTCCGGGGTCTTATTTGTGTCTGAGCTCAGGTTCCAACCACACGTTCCTTTCTGAATCAAAGACCATCTATGTCTGCCTCTCTACCACCACCCATCCTCATTCAACCACATTCGTATGATTGTCATGCCCCAATCTCAACTAATGCACATTTCATTCAAGCAGTTTCTCATCACCTATTCTCTGTAAATCTGAGCTCATACAAAATTCCCTTACAACAAGTCCTGCCCAGTCGTTACTTCTATCCCTGGTCACCCACATTGGCTCCCAGTATCCAGCTTGTCCAATTTTCAGTTCTTGTTCTTGTCCTTGTGTTCAAAACCCATCACAACCTTACTGCACCCTACCTGTCGATCTACCTTCAGCCCTAGATCTCCACAAGCCTTGCCCAAAACTTGGCATTTCTTTAGCCTGTTGTGCATTCTTCTGCACACTTCCATAGAACAATCTGTGACCATGCCTGGAGCTGCTTATGCATTACACTTTGGAGTTCCTTCTCTGAGCACAACTACCCCTTCATCCTTTACTCTGTACATTTGAGAAGTTCCTTATAAGTGGGCAGGTAAGTGGAGCTGAGTCTCAAAAAGATCAGCCATGATCTTATTAAATGGCGGGGCAGGCTTGCGGGGCCAGATGGCCTACTCCTGCTTCTAGTTCTTATGTTCTTACGTTATAAACATCTCTGAGCAAGCTTCTGGTCATCTGCTCCCAAATAACTGTTCCAATGCCTCACCTTTTATTTTCCTGATTGCATTCAGTTGCTATTGGATAAATGTTAAAGGACTTCTCAGAACCATTGAAAGAGCAGGTGGTTTTCCTGGCATCTCTGCCAATATCAGTCAAGATGCTGCTGATCAGTTTAATATTTGTAGATAATTGGATGCAAAATGGGTGCTGCTTTTGCAGTCTAGAAGGAACTACTTAGAAGTGCTAAGTTCTTCGGTCCTTTTGATACCTAGAATTTACAGCACGGACCATTCACTCAACTAGACTGCCAGTGTTTATGCTTAACACAAGCCTCCTCCCAGCCTACTTCATCTTATTCCTTGTCTGTCCTTCCCTTTCTTTCACCCTCTCATTTCCTTTTAAATACTGCAAAGTTCTCAACTGCTTTGTGTGGTATCGAGTCCCACATTCTGACTTTTGGGTAAAGAAGCATCTCCTTAAATCTTTATTGGAATTCATCAGAGATTATTTTATAATGATGGAATCTGAAATGCATGACTTCCAAAGGTGGGAAGATCTTTTCTGTGTCTACCTGATTAAAACTTTTCATTTTTAAAGACCTCTATTAGATCACCGAAGGCACAATCTAATTGTGAGTGTTTTTCCTTACAGCTCAGTCATGTTTTGTGCTGTATTTAGTTGGGAAGAAGGTGCCTGTGGGGTTAGAAAATTGCTTCCAAATTGGGACTGATGGCAGCAGAACTGTATTTGATTAAAAAGATGTTACTGCTTGAATGGGGTTGTGAAAGTTTAGTGTTCAGTGAATGAACTTGAGTGATTACCTGATTAATGCTGTTCGACATCAGACAGGTGATAAATTGTCTGTCTCTGACTAAGCTCCATACAAATACCCATTTTAATTACTTAAAGTTTAACCTTATTTTTAGACTTCATTTTGAACGTTGGCTGGGTGAATGTATCACCTATTCTTGATTTTAGCTGTTCTGCAATAGATCGGGTGCTTCCTTGATGCCCTACATAGTTTTGGCAGGATTTTATCCTTCTGATCAAAGAATCAGCAGGAGAAGCAACAGCACCATAACAAAATAAATCCCTTTGGGATGTATCTTCACCAGCAGCTCCCATGATAATTCAACACTGAAGGGAATTGAAATGAATCCATCACCTCACAGCAATATGTGCTTTGAGAAATGAAGTGAGGCTCAGTTGAACAGACTGCTGTATTGGCTGACCACATGCCTTTGCCATTGCCAACCTAATGAGCCTGGCTTGTGGAAATCTATCCAATACCGTAAGCTGTGTTTTGGCCAAATCTACACATGAATGTGCCCTATCGCGGGATAAAAATGGCAGTGATGGAGCTGCATTTATTGTAAAAGTGCTTCCAGTCGGTCTCTGCTGAGACTGTTGGTACTGTTTCAATAAGTGTCCATTGGTAGGCTTGCATATGGAGACCAGTATGCAAGTGTAATCTGCAGTGTAAGAACATCAGGTGACCTCTGCCACTTGCCCCATTCCACAACACTCATTTGCTGTGACATACCCCACTGTCCCAACGCTCTGTTACACACACCCATCACACACACCCTCTGGCAAACATCTGCCCCCTCCCCGCATGCCAAACCCCACTGACTATCTGGAAACCTTCTCCTCCCCCCCCCCCCCCCCCCCCTACCCCCCTCACCCTCGAGCACACCCTCCACCCCACTCACACTCTCCTCCATCCCATCAAATCTCCAGCTTCCCTTTCCTTCTGGCCCTATGAACGATGTGGATTGTGTTATCAATATTCCTGGCTAATGGGACTGAGAGCTGTGTTGGTAGTGTGGAGCTATACTCCAAAAGAAGAGGTTGTTCTAGCACAGTGCAAAAGTGATGAACCTGGCAACAGACTCTCAAGATTCACATTCTTTTCGTTTCTCCTGAACTGAATTTTGTAATATTTTGGCAAAATTGCTTAAATTCATGAATATTCTTGTCGAAGCATTTCAATGTGTAACTTATTGCAGGTACAGCTAGGTATCTCAGGATTCTGGGAACGCTGTATTCCAGTTAATAGATTCAATTTATAATAAATACAGAGCACTCTGTGTATTGCACTTTGATTTTGCTGCTAAGACAGCAGTAAGTAGGTGAGGGGGCACGAGGGTGTAGTGGGTGTTGGAATTTGCAAGTGCAGTACTCTGTCCACCAGGGCATATGCTATTTATTCTGCAAATCAATTGATACTACAGATGTTTACAAAATCCCTGCTCCTTCTTACCTCTAACTTCCTCCAGCCCCACAAACATAAGACCATAAGATATAGGAGCAGAATTAGGCCATTCAGCCCATCAAATCTGCTCCACCTTTGTTATCTCTCGACTTGATTATTGCAATGTACAGTTGGTTGTGATCTTCCACATTCCACAGCCTTCAATATCAATGAGTTCCACACAGTCACCACCCTCTGACTGAAGAAATTCCTCCTTATCTCACTTCTAAAGGATTGTCCCTTCACTTTGAGGCTATGCCATCAAGTCTTGATCTCTCCTACTAAAGGTAACATTTCCACGTCCACTCTATCCAGGCCTCTCAATATTCTGAGAGTTTCAATCACATCCCCCATTGTCTTTCTAAACCCCATCGATTACAGACCCAGAGTCCTCAACTGTTCCTCAAGCCCTTCACGCCCCAGGATCATTCTGTAAACTTCCTCCAAGGCCAGCACCACCACCTTTAGATACAGGACCCAAAACAGCTCACAATGTTCCAAATACCTCAAATAGCTGCACTGTCCTAATTCTGGCTGCTTTTATGCATTCCTGCTATCCTTTGCCCAGCAGGTCTTCAGCTGCTTAGGATCTAGAAATCCCCTCCTTGACGCTCTCCATCTCTTGCTCGGACTTCAATCCCTGCTTTTTTGACTAAACCTTTACTGAGTCATCTCTGCTTAGATCTCATATGATTCAGTGTTATGTTTGACCTGATATCACTCCTTTTGTGGTGGCTTGGAATAATGTATTGTAATAAAAGTGCTTTGTTAATGCAAGTTGTTATATGGGTTGTATGCTTTAATCCAGTCTGTACTGGTAACTGTCTTTTTACATTTCCCTCATTTCTAGGCAGTTGTGCCTTCTATTAAATGCCGAGAATATCTTTCATTCGATGGCCGAAATCCTCCTTCGCGAAGAAGACCTCAAGTTTGCTTCCACCATGGTCCAAACCCTCAACTCCATTCTCCTGACGTCGACAGAACTCTTCCAGCTACGGAACCAGCTGAAGGACCTGCGCACAACGGTGAGGCTTGTGTCTCGGTATCAATGCAGTTGACACTAATGGGTGGGATTTGGTTTGTGCGATACAGTGAAGCCAAAGAGTTCCACGTCCTTGTTGCCTTCATCACCTGCTTTATACAAACACTTTTTTTAGTCATGCTGGTCCATTGCAGGATTCCAAGCTGTGACCTCAATTCATCGTGTTGGTGGTGTCATCTAACCTCAAGTCTGAGATCAGTGGTGATGCTGCAATTGTTAGTTCCTATTTCTCTTTCCTCATCGCACCATTCACCCTGCTGACTGCATGTTGGGCTGTGTCCTACGTTAGACCTTGATGCCTTATCCCATGCTGAATTTTCCTTTCCTTGTCTGCTAATTCCAAGGTGCCTGACAGCCATTGCCTCCACTCACAGCTGCTGAGACTCTGACCCTTCTGCACATCCCCAAGAGACTCGATTTGTCTTGTGCTCTATCCATTTCTGCATATCAGAGCTGACCCCCTCACTGTTGGGTGCATTTTCACTCTCACTGTTGGGCTGTAACAGATCCACTGTCTATTTTGTATCCTATCTGATTTATATTTGTGGAAATGGGTATCAGGCATGTATTGAAATTGGCACCATTACCTGATGGACATGCTACATACTCAAAAGATGCAAAAATGTGTCCCACCATTTTACATGCTGAGGATTGCTCTAACGTTAGATTTATACCACCTGTCTGACTGGATTACCCACTTAATCCCTTTTCTCATATCCCCTTAAATCATTCTTTCTCAAGTATTTATCCTCTTGCCTTTTAAAATCAGTTATGCCCCGACGGCTTCGTGTTCTAACAAATCTCTGGACTAAAACATACAAATGAATTACCTACCCGATCTTCTCCTTCGCTCTTTGATTGTAAATTTATGCCCTTCGGTTGCCAATTTCAATGAAAATAACTGTTTTCTCAGTTTCACTGAAATTCCCTCACAATTTTCAGCATCCCAATCAGGTCTCCTGTTTGCCTTCAGTATGCTAATGAAGAGATTCCAAGCTTCTCTGGTTTCACGTCCAAAGAGAAACCTCTTCAAGGACAGGCAGGCTGTCTCACTAAGATAGCCTGAAAATGGAGAGGCAGCAGAGGATGGTAGCTAATGCACATGGGCTGAATAGATTGGAAAATTCTGGAATTAGGTTGTATTCTTCAAACTGTCATGGATATCAGGTTCTGGCTGCAAACCATCAAAGTGAGAATGGTTTTGATGGTTCCATCATGATACCACGGACAGAGTGCAAGAGTCAGACTTCCATACACAGTGATAGAGAGATGCTTGGCACGTAGACCACATGGTTCTGAAATGAATATTGCCAATGTCAGCTCTCGGCTGTGCTGGTGACTTGGAAACCATACAGTACATCAAGCTGCTCAGCAGACAGAGGCAAGTTGGGGACATTGGTGTGAATGAACATCATTATCCGTCAAATGATGACCAGTTTGATTTATCTGCAAGGATAAAGTTTTTCCTCCGGTGTAAAATGACCATCTCCACTCAGTAATCTATTTTTATAACAGATGGTGCTGTGTTGTCTGACTTAATGGGACAGGCTTGTCCTGTATTCCGAGGGCTTTCGGTTCGAAATGAGTATGCTGAGCACCACAGTTTGAAGCCAGTGCTTGAGGGGTTGACTTATTTTGAGTTGCTGGTTTTTAAATATTGTTTCCTTGCATTCTGTTGCCTACAGGAAAGCTGCAACCTGTTCTGTGGCTTGTATCGTTCCTGGTGTCACAACCCTGTCGCCACCGTGTCCCTCTGCTTCCTCACACAGAACTACAAACACGCCTACGACCTCATTCAGAAGTTGTATCCTTTTGTTCTCACTTGGCACCTCTGTTCTCTTTCCAATGGCACTGTACAGTCAACAGCATTTGTACCTTTATGATCAGAAAGTTGGGGTTCCATACAAGGTCACTGCTTACTTTGACAGTTTTACAAGTGCAGTTCTTTAGTTGAGAAATTAAACTGGAAGGGATTTTTCTGTCTGACTTGTTTTGGTGTTAAGGAATCTTTATAATGGTCACCTGTTGGAAAGGAGAGTTCTGTTTTTATTCATTCACAGGATGTGGACATCACTATCTGAGAGCGTTATTGTCCATCCTTAATTACCCTTGCTACCCTATGGGTAGGTGATGGCCTAGTGGTATTATCGCTAGACTATTAATCCCGAGACCCAGGTAATGTTCTGGGAAACTGGATTTGAATTCCACTGTGGTAGATGGTGGAATTTGAATTCAATGATAATCTGGAAATTAAGAGTTTAACGATGACCGTGAAACCATTGCTGATTAGTTTATCAGGTTCACTAATGTCCTTTAGTGAAGGAGATCTGTCATCCTTACCTAATCTGGCTGACATGTGACTCCAGAAGTTTGGTTTGTATCATAACTGCCTTCTGGGCAATTAGGATGGGCAATAAATGCTGGCTTAGCCTGAGATGACCACATGCAATGACTTTTAAAAAAGAAAAAAAAGTAATTTGCTTGGCCATTTCAAAGGGCAGTGAAGAGCCAACCACGTTGTTGTGGGTCTGGAGTCACATTAGGCCAGACCATTTAAGGACAGCAGATTTCCCTCCCTAAGGGCCATTGGTAAACCAGATGGGTTTGAACAATAATAAACAGTGGTTACATGGTTGCCATTAGCCTAGCTTTTAATCCAAAGTTTTACTGAATTCAAATTTGACCATCTGCCATTGTTGGGATTCAAACCAATGTCCCCAGAGCATTAGCCTGGGCTCTGGATTACTTGTACAATGGTATTACCACTATTCCACCTCATCCCTATGTTATTCTAGTTTCCTCCCCAAACTTCCCTCCCCAATCTTGATTAACAACAAAAAAAAGGGAAATGCTGGAACTATTCAGCAGGTTCAGCACCATCAGTGAAGAGAGAAACCAAGTTAACGTTTCAGCTCAAGGACCTTCATTAGGGCTAGGAAACTTTAGAGATGGAATAAGTTCTGAGCAAGGGATGGGTGGGACAAGGAAGGCAGAGAGGATTGAATGACAGAAGGACTAAAGAGAAAGGACATAGACATGGAAAAGAAACTGAGAAACACGAGATGGTGCTTGGAGCAAGTGGAAAACAAAGTAAGAGGACATGAGGAAAAACCAAAAAATGCAAAGCAGAGGAAATAATGGATTATGCACTGATATTTTTGAACTCCTTGCTGAGCCCAGAAGGCTGGAAAGTGCCTAATTGAGAAATGAGGTGCCTCTCCTCCAGAAGCAAAAACCAAAATTGTAGGAAAAGATCAGATCTAGCAGCATCTGTGGATAGAAGTCAGAGTTTACGTTTCAAATTGAGTGACCCTTCCTCAGAACTTCCCAAGGTATCTTGACCAGAACCTTAATTTCTCTAGGAAATTTGCTGGAGCTGCTTGAGAGGATTTAAACTAGTAAGGACAAGGGGAGGACCCAGGGAGAAAGTGAGGAAAGAGTACAGTTAGGAAAAAGAGCAAATCAACTAGTCAGGGCAGGCAGAAACGAAGCAGAGAACGAGGTAGGACTGATAAATTAAACTGCATTTATTTCAATTCAAGAGGCCTCGCAGGAAAGGCAGATGGACTCAGGGCATGGTTAGGATCATACACCTGGGATATCAAAGCAATTACAGAGACATGGCTCAGGGATGGACAGGACTGGCAGCTTAATATTCTAGGGTATAGGTACCACGGGAAGGATAGAAAGGCGGGACAAGAGAGGAGGGGGAGTGGTGTTTTTGATTAGGAATAACATTATGGCTGTACTTAGGATATTCTTGAGAATACATCCAGGGAAATTATTTGGGTGGAACAGAGAAATAAGAAAGGGATGATCACCTTATTGGGATTGTACTACAGACCTTCTCCCCCCACCCCAACCTCCCAATAGTCAGCAGGAAATTGAGCAATAATTTTGTAAGGAGATCTCAGTTATCTGTAGGAATAATAGGGTGGTTATGGTAGGGGATTTTAACTTTCCAGACATAGACTGGAACTGCCATAGTATTAAAGGCTTGGATGGAGAGGAATTTAAAGGCATACAAGAAAATTTTCTGATTCAGTATGTGCATGTACCTACTAGAGAAGGTGCAAAACTTGTTCTACTCTTGGGAAATAAGGCAGGGCAAGTGACTGAGGTATCAGCAGGGGAGCACTTTAGGGCCAGTGACCATAATTCTGTTAGGTTTAAAATTGTGCTGGAAAAGGATAGACTGGATCTAAAGCTTCAAGTTCTAAATTGGAGAAAAGCCTTTAGCTACATAAGTCACTACATGTCAAAGTACCTGCAATTTGTTCAGTGCGCAGCTTGTTGAGATACTTAATTATATTGTATGTACAGCACAGAAACAGGCCATCAGCGCCAATGTTTATACTTTACAGGAGTTTCCTATTCCGCTCTGCCTTAAATCCTGTTCAGTTCTTGTACTATCAAGTTCCACTCTCTAAGCAAAGAAAATCCCCTTGGATTGTTTTCTTGGATTTATCAGAGACTGTTTTATATTTATGACCCTCTGGTGGTGGGCACCCCATTAAGTGAATCTTTACCTATAATAGTACACCTCTGTCGATTTACCCTGCCCCTCTTGCTAGCAGACAAAATGCCTGGGGCTGTTTGGTCCTTGTTGATTGTCATAGCCTGTCAGTTTTGATATTGTCCATGTAAATCTTGGTATGAGTTTTTTTTTTAATTGCAACTGGACTTTCAGAGAAGTGACCCAGATTGCAGCCTTGATGGCTTGATTGTGATTTCTCAGTAAAAAGCAGGAATGCCTTGTGTGTGTACAAGATTCCATACTATCATTTTTGCATTTAACAGTAATTGAAAATGTAAATGCTCCCATTGCCAATATCTCGTGGTCACCAGATCTCCTCGCCTTCAATGATACCTGCTTTCCATAGGTACCAAATAAAAGGTGTTAGGTACCAAATAAAATATCACTGTTGCCTGTGCTCTACACTTGGCTATCCCAGTGCTCTGCTTGAGTGTATGATAAATGTACTGTCTGTAATTGAGTAGAAGTTGCAAGAAACTATCGGGAATACATTGAGGCATTACTATGTATGCAATCACTGCAAAGAATGAGGATATATTGAAAATCTAGACAGTAATGGCTTCTTTTGCAGTTTGTAACTTTTACAGTTCTGGTAGTGACATAGAGTTCAGATCTTTAATATTAAACCAGAAAATCTTCTCAAACAGATTGTCAATGTCACAGCACATAGCAGCTGGAAGAAATTTGACTCATCATGCAGTTTTATCAGTGTGGCCACCTGGATAGAAGGTAGTTAAACGAAGGGGCATCTCAAAGCAAATGATCTGTGGAGTTGTATCTGACAAAGTTGCGACAATATTGTCATGAATTAATTGAAATATGGTTTACATGTGCAATGTTCCATTAGAAGGCAGATTTTAAATAGAATGAAGTTTGAGATGTAATATTTTCTGACATCTGGTACATAACTAAGCCATCTCCCCTTCCCGCAAACAAATATTGCACTTTTTTTTAAAAATATAAATGCTTTTTGAGACACTTGGGAAGAGATGGTTATTCAATATTTAATTGTCTCACTGCCGAATTCAGATACTGAAATTGTGCATACTGTGCATCTTTTGGCTCTCTTCTCAAGGCCAGACAAGACCAGAATTGGCAAAAGAATGTGTCACAGATTCCTCTGTAGGGCCAAATTGAAAAACATTAGCACTAGCAGCTGCTGTCTGTGTACATTAGCTCTTCCATTTATAGGTAAAAGCCTAATACTAAAATACCGCAACTTCATTCAGGCAGACATTTATGAGCTTTGGACAAAGCAGTTTGTATTTTATTTTCTTTTTGATCATGCTGCCTGTCTGTTGAAACCCATTGTTTCAACTTGTGGGTTATGTAGTCTCTGTCTGTGTCAAGTTAACTGTCATGAGGTGACAGGTGGTTGAGGGAATGGGTGATGACATGACCTATAGAAAGAATATGTGCTGTGGAAAGGTTAAAATCAACTAGGGTTCCTGTTCACGATTAACCCACCGCTTGGTAAATAGTTTGCCATAATTCACTCATAGCAGGAGAATAGGCACAGGGTGAGATATTCCGCAATTGACTGACATCAATGGAACTGAACTACATTAAGAAATCTGCACCTTCAGAAAAGGAGGGGAAGGATTATAGACAGGACATGAGAGCAGAGGGAAAGATAAACTGTACCCGGTACTGTGAGGATCTGTTTGCTGCTGATAGCACTGTTTCAGGACTGGGAGTTGTAGTATATTATCTATGTGCTAAAACATTGCAAACGTTTTGTGATTTTTGGACTTGCGTTTGTGAATGAGCCATATTTATAGCTTTTTCATAATTTATCGGTTTGGGGTTTCTTTTTCATGACTACACAAGTGACTACAAAAATGAAGTGTAGTTCAGTGTGTGACTTTTGGAAAGATTGCAATGCTTCAAACTGGTGAATAAAAAGACATTAATGAGTAAAAGTGACCGGGAAGTTGCCAGGTTATTATAAAAACCCAAGTTCAGGAAAGGAAACCTACCATTCCCCTTGGTTTACAGGTTACAAGAATCACAGAATCCCTGTAGTGCAGAAAGAGGCTATTCAGCCCATCGAGTCTGCAATGACCTCCAAAGAGCATCCTACCCGTTTCCCCCCAGGCCTCCACCCTATCCCCTAACGCCGCATTTCCCATTGCCAATTCACCTAACCTGCACATCTTCGAAATGTGGGATGAAACTGGAGCCTCTGACAGAAACCCACATAGACACTGGGAGAAAGTGCAAACTCCACACGGACAGTCACTCCAGGCTGGACTCGAACCCTTGTC